ACGTGTGCTCTTCCGATCTTATAACTCGAGATTTACTTAACCAAAAAACATTTTATCTATGTGTTTGGGAAAGCTCTCGGAATAAGCTATAAGAATACGCAATAAAAAAATGGGGAGTTCCATTTAAAAAATTATTATTTTAAATACACATTTATCCTAAAAAATCAATAATTCTTCGGCATCCTTTCCCGTTATTCGATTAAGCTGAAATTTTACAGGAATTGTTTTTTTGTGAGAAGAAATCATTCTAAATTATGAGACTAAAAAATTCCATAACTCGAAAAATAAGGATCACCCTAGTATGTATTCTATAAACAACACAAGAAAAGCATCTGGACACTGCCGAGATTCAAACCTAGGCTTTTCCTCTTTCGGACAGTCACTCTGCAAATGAGCACGTCTTCTCTTTTATACTTCTATGTTTCACCTATATATCTTACAGTTTGGCCAGTCTGATAACACATTCGTCCACTATTTTCCAATAACTCTACTTCTGTTTATTAACTTCAGGCTTCTCTATACATTCCTTTCTGAATATCGACACATATACATCTTGTACATCCATGTACAAGGTACGTAAGAGGAAACAGGAAAGGCGCTTGCCCCCCTAAATTTTGACAAGGAAAAACAATTAAATTATGAAAATTATTCTTTTAACAAAAAGAAACAAGCTGGAAGAAGTATTAAGAAAATTTATTGAAGATTCTCAAAGATTGGCTTTATTATAAGTATTTTATTATTTTAATAAATTTTTATCCCTTCCCTTTTTTCTCCTGATTGAAATTCGAAATATATTCATGCATGCATCTCTAGAAACCTTAATGTCTTTTCTGGTTTTTTATAATCCAAAGATAAGTAAATCCACTTCTAAATATTATAAGCAACAACATCATGAAAAAAAATATTAAAACGGTCCTGAGCACTGTTGGAATTCAAATCCAGGCCTCTATTTTTCTAATTATAAGTAGCTATGCTGTCATTGAGCCATAACTATTCCTATTTGATTGACTTCTGTATTTTATATATCTTACAATATCTAGATGCTATAAAGAAATCGGAGAGTTATAAAAACCTTTAAATCAAAGTCGACAGGTATCACTTTCTTGGTTCGCCTAGTAATATCCAAATTTCTTCCAGATGGCTTTGGCAACAATTCATGTTCATTGATATCTTCTCCGTTCTGCGTTATATCTGAAAAGTTAAATTTGTCCTCAATATAATTAAATTTAGATAATAATTAATATTAATCGCATCAAGGTGCATTAAAATTATTTATAGTTGCTTTCCATTTTCACCCAAGTGATACT